TACTCCAGAGTCCAAACTTTGTTGGACCATGGTGTCAAAGAGCCAGTGAATCTAGGTGCTGAGAAATCCAGGCTATATTAATCTCATACCCTTAGATACCCTGAATTTAGGTACCATAGAATCCACGGTCTGTTGGATCTAAGTACTCCAGAGTCTAAACTTGGTTGAATCGTGGTGTCAAAGAGCCAATGAATCTGGGTCCTGAGAAATCTAAACTGTACAAATCTCATACCCTTCGATACCCTAAACTTAGATACCATAGAATCCAAGGTCTGTTGAACCTAGGTACCCCAGAGTCCAAACTTGTGCCTAAGCCTCATAGTATAGGAACTTTGTTGAACTATGTTTCCGTAGAATACAAACTGTACCGAACCTAGATGCTTTAGACTATTGCTTTAGCTACTGGATTCTCTTGACCTAGGTGTTGCATAGCTCAAGCACTGCCATAGAATCCAAACTCTGTTAAACTTAGACTCCAGTAAAGAGAAACCCTATCTACGAAGCCTAAATACCACAGCATTTGTTCACCACCGAACCCAGGTGTCGTTGAACGTAAAATCTAGACATCTGCATGTGAAACTCAGCTGCGTTCAGCTTGCACCACGCCCTGCATCAACGAGATCGATCATCGAATTCCATGTACGTTCCGTGAATCGGCGGCAAGGCGAAGTCAAAGCAATCGTGCCTCTCGTATCGGCGATATTAATTTCTTAGAATCGTTCATATCTCATGTCAATGAAATCGGGTCGAAAAAAAGGGAACGAAAAACGAGAGCGTTCGCCGGTTCCTCAGTCGAGCTACCGGTCGGGCCAGTCGATGCAAAAGGAGAGGCTCGAGGCTTCTGAAACGCGTCGCTGTTATCTGAATCGCGAAATCAGCGATGTTTGTGAACTGAGATAATATTTTCGAAATTGTCAATTATCAATCGATATTTTCTTAAACAATAATAACACCGTGGTTAATTCTCATTTCTGTGTCACCCTTATTCGAGATTGGTTCATCGGTGAACCAGTAGAGACTTCGCTGAAGGATAACGACGAATTTCCGCCATTTTCCAGAGCCAGGATTGGTCCATAGGGGATGCTGCGCAGATGTGCTACCCTGTCATCTCCACGGAACGAGAACAGTGCTCTGATTGGATCAACATCCCCAGTCTAGAGGGTTGTTACTTCCCTCTCTTTCAACCGATACCTGAACATGGTGTGTCCTCCATTTTATAAACTTCCATATCTTCTCCTATAAATTCTTCCATACTTTATTCTAGAATCAAAATTTCACATTTAACTAACAATCCATCCTTTTTCAAATTTTGTTTATGAAAATTCAATAAAATCATTCTGTTTTCTTAAAATCGAATTACCAAACTTCTCTCCCTTTTTAAGATCTGTAAAAATTCCCCAAAAAGGAGAAGATAGGTTAGTCTTGAAAAATTTACTATTCACTTAGCGTGTATTAAACTAATGCTTGGTTAATTGTAAAAATTTTAGGAGTGATCGAGGACGAATCAGCGACTGCCAGGTTGAAAATCCTGATCACTAGGGGTTGGAATTGATCGTCGGAGCCTGAACAGGGGTAGACGCAGAGATTGAGAGACGACGACTGCGCAGGATTTCTCTCTCGATGCGGCGTGTGTCGCGGCGGCGGTTGGCCAACCCTTGAGGGCAGCAGAGGGTGGCAGAGGGTGCGGTCTCTGGTCGTAATCAATACCGGTGTCGGCTGGCCTCGCTCTCCACCGTTCTCTCGCCACCCACGCGAAATCCTGCAGACACCGGCTGCCACGCCACGAATTTTTCTTCTTGTCGTCACCGACCGCCGCCCCCGTTATCGGCTTTTGTCGTCGCGTCGTTGCCGTGACGGCCTCCACCCTCTTCCCTCTTGTCGCCAAGTGCGGATCGTTGTCGAGGGATGGCATAACGAGATACGTCGTTCCGTTAATATCGCAATTTCAATTTCCACGAATTGCTTTATTTCTGCCTGTTCAGTACACCTGTGATACAGCGAGCAGCAGGATGTCGCGGACCACTGCGCCACTAAATTTAAGTCCCGTGAAATTTAGCTGTCTCCTAAGTTGAATTCGCCGAATCTTGGCATCACAGTGTCCAAATTTTGTTTAGTTCTGGCGTCAATGTATCCAAATTTCCCTGAATCTTGGCACCAGCGAAGCTGTTAGACTCTTGAGACTTCAAATTCTATTAAACGAGTGGGCCAAGACGCCATCAGATTCAGTCTTTAGTGTAATCAGTAACCAGTGAACTTGAGTATCTGCGTCCAAAATTTTCCTCTTCTAGACACCTTTAAATTCGAATTAAATTTCAATTATAAGGGCTACACTAGTCGAATTTTGTAATAAAATCAATGTGATATGAATTCACATTGGGTATTCTAAAATTCACCTGTGAAGTAATTTTGATACAAGACACAGGTTTTTAATTAAGAATTGTAAATATTGTTTAGCAATAAATACGCGTTGCTCTTTCGTGTAGAGCTCCATTTTTAATAATCCTGAACTGTTAGCAATTAGGCTGTCTTTCTTCCTTCCCTGGCAACACTTTACCACACAAATGGTATCAAATTAAAATCTTGCGTGAATTTTGGAACACCCGTACATACATAATTGTCACAGTCCTTCAGGCATTCTCCAAACTGCAAATTGCGATATATAAAGTTTTCAAAAAAATTCCTCCTTTGTAAAAGGTCACGGTTTGTTAAACAGCGTGTTTGTATAGGAAGTAGGTCCTATAGCTAGCGTCGAATCAATCTGATGGCCACAGAGCGACCCCCACTACTCGCCTTAGTTCCACCTCCTATTTCTCCAGCACTCGATCATTCAAATAAACGTGTCTAGCGTTCGTGGTATACACATCAGCTTGAAGGAGATTCAGTGCACTTACATTGTCTATAAATACGCCAGACGAAGTTAGTTGCAGAAATAAGAGAAACGCGAACGGGCCACGGGTGTTGATTCTCCTCGAGGGCGCTTCCTGAAAGGCGAGCCGTTAATTGCATAAATGATTCTCACGGGAGGATCGTAATTATACCGCGGCGCATTCCTTGGCCACAGCTCCGGAGGCAGCGAGCGTAAACGTAGATGCGTGAGAGTGCGTACACGCGAAACTCGGCCGCGTGTTGCTTAAATCATTAATTAGTGCCGCACGCGCTACGCTGCACCGTTGAAAACTAGAATTTCGCACGGACCGTGCGTATAAATGCTGCCGCGATGATTAACCGTTGAATAATTGCGCGATTCTTCGCTGTTAGCTGTATCGTTGGGTCGTGCAGCGTTACCTTATTCCGTCTTGAGCGACGGGTAGAGTTACATGCTTGATGTGCGTATGTCATGTCCCGTTTCCTCTGTCTTAACCTCAAATTATACAACAATTTTTTCGGTTGATATATGATCGATTCGAATGTTTAAGTTTTATTCGAGTTCAAGTATTATTACTGACGAATAAAGTTACAAACCTAGTGGAAATCGTGTCCCATTCTTGCCTCTCCTAACCTCAATTTAATACGGCTATTCTCCTTATAGTACTATCTTGCTTAATTTCGTTGAATGTGGATAAGTTAGTGCAGAGAGATTTGATTAATTTGTATTCCATTTTTCAATTCTAACCTTAATTTGGGAGAAGAAATTTTTGTGACAGAATTTAGATTAGTTTGATTCATTGAATTTCATTCGGGTCGAAATGTTGTTATGGAGGAATAAGTTTCGAAATATAGTGGATACGGTTACTTCCTGGAGTAAACGTGGCGCATGTTCGTGACGAAGGTAACGGCAATGGCGTCCAAATTTCTAACGAGTCATGCCGCTTCACGAGGATGCAGCGTAGGCTTGCCCGCGATCGTCGCCGTTACTCTCCCTCTGGTGAATCTTCGTTTCTTTTTATTCCACGCGCTAAATGCGTATTCTGTTTATTCCTTACGAGTAGGAGTTAATTTTATTGTAAACAGGCTGACAGTGAAATATGCGGTGGTGCGGCGTTGCCAAATAAACGGTGCTCACAGAAAACGCTCGAAATTCTGCGGTAAGCGGTTCGGATGAAAGTGGGAAAAATATGTCGCGACACATCGAGACACATCCTTTGGGTGTTCTTGCTGTTACCGCTCGAGAATTCTTGCTTTCGAATTTTCGAAATATCAGCAACGCCATATTGTATGTAAAAATGTCTACGCATGTTCTACCGCGAGAATTGCTCTTTACCAACGGCGCAAAAATGATTTCTTGCATACATATTTGCTCTACCTTATGTATTATTAAGTGTCTCTTTATTTTTACTCTTTTTATCACAGCTACTTTTTATTCCGTATAATATTCGCACATGTCATCGTCGATTTGCATTGGTGACACTTTCAAGGCGGACTCTCGTATTGACATTCGAATGCATTTCGCATCGTGGCTACGTGCAATTCTCTGCGACGCATCTCCGTGATTATTCCGTCGTAGCGACACACCACGCTTCATTGAGGTTGCACAATCTACTGGCGCCTCCCGTCAACAAAATACCAGGTTGATGAGAATGTACACCTACATATCGCGGGTTACGGACCGACCAAATCGCTCAATAGAACAGTTCTATTCGCTGGTTGATTAAATTAAATCGATTAAAAGTTTCATTTCGAGTGTGTTTATTTTTCTTTTTGTTTCTTTCTGTTGAAAACTTTAGTTTTGATGTCGAAGAAGAAATTAAGCTTGATCTTGGAACAAAATACAAAGGATAAGAGAATATATATTTATATAATGTATCTGTTATCCATATTTTGCTATGTTTTTACTATAAAAATACCGTTTGTATAATTTTACCGATCGTGGTACTTTAGCATATGAAAATAAAGTAGAGATTTGAAAAAAAAGTTTAAACGTTCGTCGGTAAAGATGTTCGATGATATCTACTGTATCGATATTTAACAAAGGAGTTAAGAGACACATGGAAGAAAATCGATAGAGGGCGGGCAGGTTTAAATGACTGCCGTGGCTTTCAGAACCTGTCGACAGAGTTTTTATTTCGCGTATTTCGCGACTGAAGTAATCGAAGGGTCGTAATGTCAGAAATTCGACGAGAATCATCGAGTGTGTGTAATGTCAGCTATAAGTGACGCATTAGCGCTTTCCGCGGCGCGTTCTTCACGCGAAACGATGCCAAGAGGATAAATTATGCCTCGAAAAGAGAACACGTAAGTGTCCATTAGCCAGCTTCTAACCTCGACCAGTTTATTAGCAAGATTTTCTCTTCTCCTCGCGTCTTTTTCTACGGAACAAGAATGAACAAATGTGCTTACATTTTAAAAAAAATTAACGGTCCGCTCGTTAACGTGGACGTCTTCTCAGCAAAGCGAAAACATGGGAGCGAGACAGAAGAAAACGTATGAACGCTTACTTCAAAACTCTGGCAGACCTTCTGCCACCGCATCAGGAGGGCCGCAAACGCAACAAAGTCGATATCCTGATTCACGCATCGAAGTATATCAAAGACCTCCATAGCCGCACAGAGGAGTTATTCTCTGCTCATGCTTCAGAAGCACATAGTAAGTGCATTAATTTAACAGTGATTGTAATGGTTAACATTTTTTTTTCTTTCTTCAATCTTCTACGTATATTTGATTATAGAAGAAGAATTGGCTCGTCTTAAAAAACTTGTAACCCAACTTTTCTCTCGTACGCAATTGTTGTCCACTCTTTTGCGAGAGGCTGGTATTTCTGTGCCAGCAGAACCAGCTCTTGAAAAGATATCCCCCCTGAAATGGTCGAACAAAATTAATGTAGAGGATGCAGAAAAGTATTTCAGCAAAATAGAAGAGAGTAAGAATGCTAATATGTGTAAATAGTGAATAAAAAATGGTTTTGTTAGGTTTTCTTTGTAAAATTTGTTTATTATAGTAAAAAATTCTGAAAGCAAGAGGGAAAAGTCTGCAGAACTGAAAGTGCCTTCTAAGAGAAAATCAGTTAATTCTTCCCATTCGTCTAACAAAAAGTCAGTGGAGAATAATGATGTTTCTAAGGATGTGAATAGTTCTATAGAGAATCAGGAGAATCAGGTAAACTCTGCAAATAGCAATGATGACAACTCAGATGCTACAGGCAATGTATCAGACACAGGATCCAAAGAACCAGAATGTCCAACAAACACAAGTAAATGTTTCTTCTTAATTTCAATTGTATAACTTATTCTAAGCCCGATCATATCTCTTATCATTTTGTTAATTAGGTTCTGATGCAGTAGTCAGTTGTCCAGTAAATAGCAAAGCTAATAACGGTAGGTCTGAAAAATGTAGTTGTAAATCAAAACTATTTACAATATTAATTTATATCATAAATTATTATTTTAGCATTACAGAAAGTAGAATCTCAAAAAAAAGTGAAGAGGAAAGTAAAGAAAAAGGAGGAGAAAAAATCATTAACGCAGTGTATAAATAATTCTGTGACTAGTCTGACCCCAAATACCCTCATATTATCTGGTGGTAAATTAATGCCTTTGGTAACTCCAATGGCTTCAAACATAATTGTAAATACGCAGCAACAGCCAACGAACCCAATAATTCTCGGTAACGGCCAACAAAATCAAATGATCGTAATGCAACCTTTAACGAATCGTGTACAAAATCCAGTTGTTTCCATTTGTAATCAAGCTGTGATTAATACAGTTCAAAAGGTCACGCTCAATACTGTTCCTAGTATTCGTGCGAATATGGTAGTAGATTCACAAAATTGGGCATCCAATGTGAAGAATATAATCAATGCGACCAAAATTGGCGGTCACAAAGGCATTTTGCCCAAGGGTAAGGAAGTTACGAAAACAACGATGACGTACAAAGTTCCTATTCCAGCGGTTCATAAGGAGAAAGCAGAAAAATCTAAAGAACATGGATCTAAAAAAGATACAGAGGTTAAATCGAAAGTCAACAAAAATCATGCAAAAAATTCTAAAAATCAACAGTTAACGGAAACTAATGAAGAAAAAACTGAAAAAGAAAAGGTTACTAAAAATAGTGAAGATATAAATTGTACCCAGAAGGTTTTGCTTAAACGTCCTGCAAGTACAGAAACTGGATCTGTGGATGAACCTGGTGATAAAAAACGAAAGTCAAATGAAAATGATGAACATAGCCCAGCGAGTGCTCACTCGGTACCGGTATCGAAGTCTGATTTTGCTGTGACTTGTAAATCTATCGAAAGTTTGAAGCACGTAATAGAAAAAATTGGTGAGGACGCGAATGATGAACAAGATGATAGTCATCCTCTGCCTCAGTTAGAGGAAAATACTGAAACAAACGTAGAATGTTCTGTTCTGTTAGATACTAGTACTAATCAGGAAGATGTTTCTGATTCTTTAAAATCAGTGGATGTTTTGACATCAGATAGTATTCAGACTGAGGGAAATGGAAGTCAGGACATACCAGTTTCAGATACATCTCCAGTCACATTCTCAGATGAACATTTAAAATCTTCTAATGAAAATGTTTCAGTATCTCCTGAAACTGACTTCAACATTCCTGTAGACAGTACTCTGACAAAGTCAAGTAGTAGTGTGGATTGCCCTAATTCCAAGACATCTTTGACACAAGTAGAAGAGGTAGTGGAAGATTCTGTGAGATCTACAAAAATGAAGGAAGTGTGTAATCTTGACACAGACTTTGACAATCTTTTACAGGTGGCACCTAAAGAGCCAGAAGTTGTCGAAGGTACAACCAACTTAGAAAGCAATAAGATTATTTTGAATCTAGATACAAATACTACAACGACTTTGAAACCAGAAACTAGTGCTGTGGTTCAGACTTCAGATATCACAACAACATCATCGTCACTGCTCCCGGTTAGCATAGTAGAGGATGAAACCAAGCTAGTGAAAACATCAAAGGACGAAGTGTCAAAGTCGTCACTGTCATATAACACAGAAAATTCTTTTGTACCTATTGGCAATAGAGCTGATGGTCTTCATTCCGATCTTTCAAATGATATATTTGCATCTCTTCAAGTTCCTTCTAGCTCGAATAATCCAGAATCTATATCTCCTACTGCAGCATTCCTAATGGCTTTTCCATTGGTATCATCTCTAAATGGTAAAACAGAGGTCTTAGAGGAGGAAATGAAAGAAGACTTCAAGTACCATAGTCAAACTCCACCCATGCTTCTACAAATTGGTGCAATGGAGCCTAATAGCTTTAAGTTAAAGACAGCATCTCCACCTCATTCCATTGCTGAAAAACGTTTAAAGGTGACGTGTGAAGAGAAAAAGGCTATCAGTCCTCCCGTGAGTGAAACGGTGACCACGAATATGGTTTCCGTGGAATGTACTACGACCACGAAAGCCTTGCCTAAGGTTGTAAACGACGAACCACTCAGGGAGCCTTATAAGATTGTTCAAAGTGTATTGACACCACCTTTAGAAAAGTCTGTATCTTCTAGTTCTTTTTCCCACGCGAATCTATATTCTATTTCAAGTGCTTCAGGCACAACGTCAATCACTAGTACCTCAGAAACGGGAGAAAATTGTCAGAGCCAACTCGTAACAAATCTAAGAAATCCAATTACAAATGCTACTAATGAAAATGTTGTTGTTTCTCAAATTAATACAGTTTCCATATCAAATAAGGTAAATCCAAACAGTTGTCCTGTACAGGCTTCGACTTGTGACACTAATGTTCGATATAGCACCTCTCAGGATTTTCTATCGAGTTACTCAACAATTGTCGAGAATAATCTAACTACTCTTCAACAGAATTCAAACACTTGTACCAGTTCAACCATTCAGGAAACGAATCCACCTGGATTGAATCAAAATGTCGTTCCTGTAGTGTCTCAAGCACCTCTGATTCCTCATTTGAGTAATACCAATACATCTACAAATGCGTCGTCATTGCCTTTACAAACTATACAAATGGATTACACATCTCAGATGAAAGACAAAGAATCTCATAGTTCTCGTGTCGCTTACGGAGTTCATGGTAAGGATCCTCTAATGGATTCTAATATCGTTCCCAATAATCGTCTAAATTATACTGGTCACATAGATAGAGTTCTCCCCACTTCTTCTCAAAATAGCAGGAATATTCAATGCAGTCTAAGGATTCAATTCTGCCAATTCTCTCTTCTCAAGCTATGCAGACTGTCTATGAGACACAGCCTAAAGATAGTCATGTTTTAACAACTCAGCAAAATACTCTTCAGAGTTACACAGTTCATGAAAAAGATCATATTATTCAGACTACTCATAACGATTATACCGTGGATCAGAATAAAAATCTACCTCGGAAGGATTCATATTCCACAGGAAGTAGTAATGCCACTACATCCAACAGGAATCAAAACTATCCCGCAAAAGATCAACTATCGAACTCGTCTGAAAATCATTTCCAACGCAGTTATTCGAAAATTAATAAAGAATCTGATTCTTCAGGGAATAATGTTGTAGATCAGGATTCAAAGTTGAATGACGTTTTGAGATCAAAGGCTCAAGAACCGCAGGATCATAGACGCGATACTAATTATAACTCCTCAAAGAAGATGGACATTGATCCATTTACTCAAACATTTTCCTATGGAGTAAAAGAATCTATGAATGCCCAGGCTGAACAGGGTGTACTAAATCAAAATACTGATAACATATATCAAGGTAAAAGAGAAGAAGCTCAAAGTTATTCTTATCCTAATAAGGACACGAAGAAAATTAATACTAGTTCATCTAATAATATGAATAACAAATCTCTCATTCAGAATAATCCTGTTTCGCGTTATTCGCAACAGTCGACATCTTTTGTAGCTACGTCCAATTATGAGCAAAGTACGGTTACAGAAAATCATGCAAAATCAACGACTACTGTTGCTCATAATTCTTCCAATTTTAGTATTTTGTCGTGGACGACTTTGTCCCCTGTTGGTGGAGGGAATAATAATAATTTGGTGCAGTTTGAGCAAGGACCAAGTCAAACGGATAATACCGAAGCAAAGACAATATGTGAAAATTACAATTATGTACCCCTCCATAAGGAAAACCCAAACTTCTCTAACGTATTGACTAATGATGTTTATTCTGTAAACTCTACCATGGCTAACATGGATAAATCGAGGATGAAATCGGGAATGGAAACACAGAAGCAGCCCTTCGTGGATCCTTCTAAATCCAGGAATATTCAGACTAATGTTCCTTCATCTGGTAAGCAAAATCGTATGCAGAACCAGACATCTTCCAACAACAATGATTACACCAAGTTTAGCACAGAGAATAAAAACAAAACTAAATATAGCATGGAATCAGAATATATTCAGAACGAATATTCCGGAATGGAACAGCAATCGCAGCAGCAACAACAACATGGACCAAAGACTCATCAATCTATGACGACGAAGCAGGACAAAACAGTCTACCCAATGTCTAATTACGATCCTCAAGTAAATTTCGATTTACCCGAAGTTACCTCACAAATGAAATACTCTGTCGAGACTTATGCAAGTTCGAATTTTAAGTATGCTGACAAATCTCAGCAGCAGAGTCAGAATAAGTATCAGCCTCTGGTTCAAGGGCAGATTCCTTCTCTGCAACACGACAGTGTCACTTACAATAATGATGGGAAACATGGACAACAACAAAGTGCAACGAAATCAAAAGGAAATCAGCAACAGCATGCAATTAGGGCACCAGTAAATTGGATGATGACCCCAGAAATCAAACATAATGCTAACATTGCTGATATCATTTTACCACCTATTGGGAAGGAGCTCGAATTTTGTCAGAACAATTTGTTTGCTCAAACACCATCCTACAATCAAGGAACGCCGAATCAATTTTATAATAATTATGATGTTGCAGCTCATAGTTTCTCTAATTTACCAGTTCTGCAAAGTGAACCAAAAAGGACTTCGGAAGTGTTTTACTCGGAGGAACAACCATTCCCTTGGTCTCCTACAAAAACTAGCCTTCACGTTGAGCAGGCTCAACCAGTAAAAGGTCTAGACCAACATATCGTTCCCTCCAGTCTTCCAACTTTGGTCGGTGACTTAGATTTAGGTACTAATATACCCGAGAAACAGAACTTTTTATTTAGCCAAGTACCTTCGAGGGTTCCGTCGGATCAAAATAAAGATCCAATCAAAGATAAAGAAGGAAATGTTACAGGGCGTGATTTTCATACTGTATTGAATAATCAGACTGTTCAGCATCCAACCGCGGGATCATCTTTCCTTTCTGTAAGTCAGTTGGTGGAACACGAGAAAGCTGAGAAATCTCATCAACAGCATCATCAACAGCATCACCACCATCATCATCACCACCACCATCATGCTCACCAGCATCAACAGCAGCAGCAGCAACAACAGCAACAACAGGCTAGGAAGCATCAAAGGAAAAGCAATGCTAGTCCCAGAGGAAATAGTAAAAGGCAGATGGATATCCGAAAACAAGCTTCGGGTAATGATCAGTTGCATCAACGGCACGAAGAGCAAAAATCATCTGGGCACACGTTTTCTGAGCAAGGATATCAACAACAGCAACAACAACAGCAACAACAACAGAAATATCAACAGAATAATGTTCATTGGAGAAGCAGGAATTGTAAAAGCAATTACACTGCCGAGGCATTGATAGGAACTAACAGTAGCGTTCATGATACCAATCAAGATAAACATGCTTCGATTAAGTTCTCCACAAATTATTCACAAAACAAATTCCAAACAAGCTTGTCTACAGCTGATACAGTCATGCCCCTTAATTATTTCTCAAACACGGATGATGGAAGTGGTTATGGGCAAATGGTGAATCAAAATTTTAATTCATACACATATTCGTCTAACACTAACATTTATCCCACTTCAAACTTTATAACCAGTATATCGAATACACCTAGCAGCTACATGATGCCATTGCACGATAATACAGACTACATGGAAGCTAATGCCTTCCTTTTGTCAAATGTAACAGTTGCCTCGACTACCTCTTCGTCATCCTCATCTACCGTGACCACCTCTACTTCAAATGTAAATACAAATGCAAAAAATCATCAGCACTATGGAAAGCATCAGAATTGCGATAAAAGATCGTACCCGACAAACGCAAAGAAGGGAAAGA